ACCAATATCAGGTGATTGTTTAAAATACCGCACCCCTAATCGTCGGTGACGGCCAAGCTAGCAGCGATTGATGTCGCCCTTAAGTACGTACATGAAGGGTTACCAGCATCGAAGGTTGTCATTCTCACCTACTCATGTGGTGCCCTTAGCGGACTCACCAGCTAGGAGATGGACATCATGGAATCGATCAACAATATTCTGTCACGTGGGGTATGCCTAGCTGCACAGTGGGTACCTTCGCACGTGGGCATGGCGGGCAATGAAGGAGCAGATCGCCTTGCTTCGTCGTGCAACCATGACGGCTGTGACTGCCTGGGAATTCCATCTACGATGTACAACGCTCGTCTGCTTATACGCCGACACCTCCTAAAGCAGCACCCAGACCAGAGTGCACCGAATGAATCATTCCCTCTCCGTGTTCATGGCCGTGGCTTGTCTCGTCGTTTCCAGCGCTGTTGTACTAACTAAGAGTGGACTCTGTACTGGTGCATGAACGATTGCACCGTCAAGGGCATGTTGACAGTCCGTTGTGCGCAGCTTGTGGCTCCTGCGAAACACTTGAGCATCTCGTAGTGCACTGTCGCACATTTGCTACGCAGCTGTCTTCGTTCTTTGCTGATTAAGGAATATAAATTCCTAGGACTTAATTGCGTGACCCGAGACGACTACCCCTTTTCAAGCGGTTGTGCTTCCCGACACGACCAGGCCCAATGAACTCTCCTTACATTTATGAACCAAACGAACCTGGCCACCCGTTGAAAGACGGTTTTTTATTTTTTTATCTTTTTATTATTTTCATTTTTTCACTCATGCTCGTCGAAGTCTTTGTCATTTTTTTCTTCCTCATCTTCTTTCCTCTAATGCTTGTTTCCTCTGTTTTTTCCCTCCTCCCAAAAGAGTGAGCAGGCCTGGTGCCCCTCCAGGTGGCAGTTGCCAGCTTGCTCACTCCCTGTTTCCTCTGCGTCCTGTGTATTTGTGTATGTAAATCAAATAATACTAATATTTTTCATTGATATATGTAATTGTGTTGTGTATAGTGATTGAGGCGACTTTCATTATTTGTTTGGTTGACAATGTATCTTTTTTTATTTTACTTTTTGTAAACGCTCCTCCACTGTAATGCCAATTAGCACTGTGAGAATGAAATAAATAAATGAATAAAGTGTCAATAGATAAGCTATAAATTTGTACACAATCAATGTATCTTTTCAGGAAAGGTGGACTAACAGTTACATGTGCTCACCACAAACTTTAAGTAAGTTGCAAGCTACATTTTAGCAGTAATTTCTTGAAAATAACTCTAGATATAATGAGCATAAGTTGAACAAGAGTGTGGAGAGGATACGTACAGCCTTCGTTTTGGAGACGATGGCGGCTGCATGCTGATCTTTCAGCAAAAAGCAATATTTCTAGCTGTAGAATGATTTGTCAGACTATAAATTATACCGGCGACACTAGCTTACTTCATGTAGATGAATCATCTGAACATCTATACATAAAGGTATCAATATAAGTCTATATGTTTAACCCCAAATGGACGATAGCCATATATAAATGATTGTCATATATAGCTATATACAGCAACGTCCATATATGGGTATACAAGGGATTAGGTATATCAGGTTGTATAAGGTCCATATATGGCTACATCAAGAATTGGGCATATCAAGTTATGTAATGCCCATATACGGGGATTCCAAAAAAGCCTGATATGACCTTTTCCTGATGTAGCCATATTCGGGGATTTTTGTATTGGTTCATATATAAAATTTTCGTGAGGGGTCATAGACGCGGTAGATGCAGTGGCACCTTCGCTGTGTTCCTTCACTGTGCAGTCATGCTCTGACGCTGTGCTGGAGCCGCTTGATAGTGCCCTTGGCTGGCGTTCGCCAGTATGGTATTTTGTGAGTGTGGTGGAGGAGAAAATGCGTAAGGAGAAAATGCGTAAGGCAGTGGGATACAATCTCCACAATGCTATTTACCACGTTACAGTAGTTTTTCAGATGCTTAGAAAGGGTACAGTTAGAGATAAGAGTTAATGGAGAGTGCCTTAGTAACCTGCGCTTCTCCGATGACATTGCATTGCTAAGTAACTCAGGGGACGAATTGCAAGTCATGAATACGGTGTTATACAAGGAGACCAGAAAGGTGGGTCTTAAAATTAATCTGCAGAAAACGAAAGTAATGTACAACAACCTCAGAAGGGAGCAGCGCTTCGAGATAGGTAACAGTGCACTTCCAGTTCCGTTATAAAAGACCATGTCTACTTAGGGCAAGTAATAACCGTGGAGCTGAACCGCGAGATTCAATTAACTAGAAGAATAAGAATGGGGTGAAGCACATTTGGCAAGCACTCTCAAATTATGACAGGTAGATCACCACTATCCCTCAAGAGGAAGGTATATAACGGCTAAATCTTGCTGGTACTTAGCTACAGAGCGGAAACCTGGAGATTTACAAAGAGGGTTTAGCTTAAATTGAGGACGACGCAGCGAGCAATGGAAAGAAAACTGGTAGGTGTAACCTTAAGAGACAAGAAGAGGCCAGAGCGGATTAGGGTACAAACGGGGGTTAAGGATATCAAAGTGGAAATCAAGAAGAGGAAATAAACATGGGCCAGTAATGTAGCGCGTAGATAGGATAACCGCTGGTCATTAGGGGAACTAACTGGATTCCCAAAGAACGCAAGCGGGTTAGGGGGAGACGGAAGGTAAGGTGGGGATGAGATTAAGAAGTTTGCGGGTATAAATTGGCAGCAGCAAGCACAGAACCGAGTTAACTGGTGGACCATGGGAGAGGCCTTTGTCCTGCAGTGGCCGTAGTCAGGCTGACGATGATGATGATGGAGGAGAGAATCTGTCGAACGTTGGTTAACGCCCCGCATATCCTGGCATAGCCGACCTAAGCAGCGGTAATAAATGTTATTATCTTGAAGACTGGTCGCACAAACCCACACATATTGAAGTGCTACAACAGACATCTTTCTCGTAGACCCATGCGCTGGATTGATAGGTTCATATATTGCCTGGACATGTAGAAATAAGTTTTGTGCCTCCTTTTTTTACGTCATAGTTCGCGTTTCAGTACTTAGTGTTTGTAGCGTCCTGATTTCTTCTGTGCCCCCGTATATTTTCATGACATGTCTTTTAAAATAAATTCTTACTAACTAGCTCAGCTTTCTGTTATTCTAAACAGTTCCAGCTTGTGAAGTATATACATATATTTGGTGTACCTAGTAGTAGCATTCGATCGAATAAATTATGCTGTTGGAGCGAGAAGAATGAGCACTTCACGTGTTGCTTTGACATACGTATTCTGTCAATGCGTTCGCATGATCATTAAGAGTTCGTCGAGCTTGGTAACGCTAGTTAGGAACATCACTTGAACTTATAAGGTCCTATCTGCAACATATAATGCTATGTATTTGCCTCCAAGGCAATTTATCTCGGCACAAATCAATTACCTCTGGTGTACCTCAAGAGAGCATTGTCGAAACACTGCTATTACCTTTTACGTAAATCAGATTTCACAAACTGACCACAGAGCAAAATACATCACTTATGCGGATGATAGAACCATTTTCTTTCGCAGCAAACCTTATGATACTCTTCAAAGTAGCATTGACATAGCTCTCGGTGACTTACACAAATGGAGCGTAATCGATTCTCTTGATATCAACACAGACAAAACAAAAGCCGTGATCTTCATCTCCCCGACAATCACCTGAACCACCCATTTTGAATTTGACTTTGGGAAACTCGCGTATAAAAATTGTGGACTCAGTGAAATCACTTGGCGTATTTTTTTCAAAAGAATCTATCCAGGGACATTCAAGTTAATCATATTGCTAAACAGGTAACTAAGGTAGTAGGAATATTGGTGAAATTTCAATTCTTCTTGCCAGCAGCTGTCATACTTCCTATTTACAATGCTCTATTTTTTTCTAATTTAAACTATTGCTGTTTAGTTTGGGGCACAACAACGCTAACAAACCTCAACCAGCTGTTTATATTACAAAAAAAGCACTTCGTCACAATGCGTGTGTTGAAAAAACTGCGCACACAAAACCATTGTTTATCAAATACAATATCACGTCATTTCAAAACTTGTACCCATCAAATCTCTCTACAAGGTCTAAACATAAGACAGTAGGACTACTTCGTACACTATCCGAATTGACACCGATTACAAGGGCTTATGATTCCCGCAATGATGATATCTGGAAAATGCCATTTTCACACATCATGCTAACACAACAAATACTTCGTCATACACTTCCAAAACTCTTAAATGAACTCCATAAATGTGGTATTGACTAAAAAACAGAAAAACAACTGTAAACTATGCATTCAAATGGTTTTTATCACCGAGGAGTAATGCATTTCCTTATTGTAAAGTATACAGTTTCTGTTCGATACACTTCCCAGTTTTATGGTTTTTCTTCCTTTTTTGTTCACCTAAACATTGTGTTAAGGAAAGCTCATTTTGTTATTATGATATGTAAAGATTTATTACAGTATAAATATCGTATTACATTGTATTTTTTGTAACTATTGTATTGTTCTGTGGCATTAGTATACGTGTTTGTTCATTAACAACTGTGTATGCATTGTGAACTTATGCTGTATGTCCAATAGATAGATAGATAGATAGATAGATAGATAGATAGATAGATAGATAGATAGATAGATAGATAGATAGATAGATAGATAGATAGATAGATAGATAGATAGATAGCTAGATAGATAGATAGATAGCTAATAGATAGATAGATAGATAGATAGATAGATAGATAGATAGATAGATAGATAGATAGATAGATAGATAGATAGATAGATAGATAGATAGATAGATAGATAGATAGATAGATAGCTAGATAGATAGATAGATAAGATAGCGGACGGACGGACGGACGGACGGACGGACGGACAAAGCTTTTATTTTCGCTCTGTTAGAAGAACACTTGCCCCCTTATCTAACTAACCTCGTTCTCGGCACAGTGGGTCCGTGCGAGGAGCGCCACTCTCAGGAGGAGTTTCAGCTCTGGAGTCCGGGATTCCCGGAGCCGTACGCGACGAACCAGAAATGTTGGTACTACATCCGTCGAGCCACGGACTCCGTTTGTGGTCTCGAGCTCACGTTTCAGCACTTCGAGCTGGAGCAGAGCGATGGCTGCGTCTACGACTACCTGGACGTGGACGGACAGAAGCTGTGCGGATCCATAACACCCGGCGCAGTCCGTGAGTCACGCGGCTTGTTTAACGTGGGTTAAAGTAGTGTGAGAGCTACGTCGAAACCACGGCACAGTGTACTTTTGGCCATAGTCGTATAGTAGTCTTTTTTGTGTTTCCGTGTCCACCTCATAAATCATTTGTAAATAGTTTTGGTTAGTATACCAAGCAAAGGAACCAAGTCTGCAGGATATCACTGCCTGTGCGGGTACAATACCTGCACGGATAACTTCGTGTTATCGCTGCCGCAGATAAAAAAATTATGAATAGGGAAGGCTGAAAATGACTCTCGAACATGTTTGTTTGGGGATAATTGCGTAGGTGTATGTGTACGATGGCGTAATAGCATGGGTGTTTGGATGGCTTTAACATCCGATTATCACCTTATTTAGGCCTCATGTCTCGCGCTTATTAGCATGAACATAATAGACCTTTAAGTAGTACTGATCATTACGCGAGTTAGTATGAATTCATAATTAGGAGGTGGCGGCGCGGAAAATTAGAAAACATCATTGATAGCACAAGAACAACACACCCCAGTTCATCAAAACGAATATAATTGTGAGGCATCGTCACCACACAACAAGATGGATAACCTAAGCTTCGCATATACGAAATCAGAGTGAAGCATCAGCTTGCCATGCGATCCGATGCAGCCCAAATAGCAATAATTGGGAGGGGGGGGGGTCCCATTTCACAACCTTCATGTGACAGAGAGGAACCGCGAACGCGGGTACTACGGATTAAATTTCGACCACCCATGGGGTTCTTTTGTGTCACAGGTGGTTGTACATTTCACCTTCATTGAAGTTAGAGCACTTAGTGCCTTCTCCATGGGTGCGTGACTTTTTGTTTTATTATTTCTTCGTTTACGTAACCACGTAAGTAAATATATGGGTTCTGCACATGTGAATAAAATTTCAATCGCGTGTCTGCGCTGTGGTTCATGTTCTTACGAATTTCCTCCATCTTTTTCATGGTGATTTTGCAAACCGATCGATCAACGTATACTAGCCGAATCGATTAAATTTTTAACATCTAGTATACGAGACATGCTTGAGGAAACGTATAAATCCCGGGCAGAGGTTTTTATCTTTTTTTTCTTTTATGCAGTGCCCTATATGGTGCATTTGCGAATGACACACCTAATGTGCCTACGTCAGCTAGCTCATTTGGCTTGAGTGCCCCACTCGGCGTCAAGGTATTCACAGCGATAACGGCAAGATGACGCACAGCATTTCTCTCATAAACGCTTCGTTAACGTCATGTTCCTTCTTCACTCAATAAAGGGCAACCTCGGCCTTGATCAAAACAGCTACGACGCCGCCTGCCCTGCTTATAGACGGTGTCAAGGTTTCAAGCGTTGTACCCCAAAAAACTTCCGGTAACCTCATTTACCAGCTCCTAACGGACGGAACTGAAAGAACGTTTTCAAGTTCTTTTCAAAGGTAACGAAAGTCTCTCAAGAAAATGATAACTTTTATGTACTTTAAAAGAACATTTATTTGAATAGAGTTTGCCAAATAGGGGAAGGAAACTGTAGAATATTAGCGGGCTATCTTCTATAGCTCTTGTTGTCCACCGATGCTATTAAGGCACATCGGTGGATAACGCCGGATGTCATCAAGGGCCAGTGTTTGTAAACATTAAAAGGTTCTATAGCGTGTGTGTTGGCCGACAGCAACTAGTGGTTTCATTGACCATACAAAATAGCGTGCTCATTCAGCGCGAGGGAAGTTGTGCGCTTCCGCTTTCCTTATACTAAACATAAAAACCGCCATGCCTGGCTCCTGGCGCTTCGTCAGAGGGCAGGTGACTCAGCAGTGGTCCTATCGGCTACCACCTTCTCCAGGCTTAAAAATGAAAGAAGGGGTGCTTTTAGTGGCTCCGGCATATTTCTTTAGAAGTGGCATAAAGCAGCCTAACTGCAGCCGGCATTGTACGCATAACCATTTTTTTAATAGTGAGAGGCAGTGGTGTACTAAAATATGTGGCTGTGGCATAAGATTCTGAGCCTCGTCTCTGCGAAAGAAAAAAATAACGGAATGTAGGGTATGCATTTGGGCTAGTTTGTTCATAATTACAAATGAAAAAAATATGGCCCTAAAAAGACGGGACCAGAACAGACACGGCATCACGGCGCTGACTATCAACCAAATGTATTTTTTCTTTCAGTCAGCTATAGATACTTCACCACTATAGTAATGAAACGACATAAATATGGAGACTCAGCCTGCGCAGAGGCAATGAGATGACGAGTTGGACATGAATTTTGGCTGCTCCGGTTATCCCTTGTATGCTCAAGGTGGTGCGCAGCTTCAAGAGGGTTGTAGGCAGGGCAGGCGTTAGACTGCTGTTTTCTGCTAAAAATAAGTTCGGTAGCCTGTGCCACCAAGGTAATCGAGAGGTATAGGTAGTAAAATAGGGGATGTACCTAGAAGCATAGACAGAAATTTGTTGAATGTCATCAAGGTGTCGTGTACACAATTCTACTTTCTTCTGCGCGTCATCGTATTGGTCTAATGGAGTGGTGCACTAATGACCGCATGCGCGAGCATTCGAATAAGGTTAAAAAGCAAGCTACAGATCAGTTATATCTTAATCGTAACAAACGCAATCGCCACCCATCGTTTACAGATACTACTTACCCGTTGAAATACCATTGAAGAACGCGCATGACTTACTTGAAAATCTCATCGCATACAGAAAAGCGATGAGCCACGTGTAAGCTTCCTCTTAGATCGCCTGATAATCTCTGCACAGCCTGAGCCTTGATTTGTTTGTGATAGTTGTTAGTGTTCTAGCAATAGACACATTCGGTAGATAGTGAACGCCCCGCCGCGGTGGTCTAGTGGCTAAGGTACTCGGCTGCTGACCCGCAGGGCGCGGGTTCGAATCCTGGCTGCGGCGGGTGCATTTCCGATGGAGGCGGAAATGTTGTAGGCCCGTGTGCTCAGATTTGGGTGCACGTTAAAGAACCCCAGGTGGTCTAAATTTCCGGAGCCCTCCACTACGGCGTCTCTCATAATCATATAGTGGTTTTGGGACGTTAAACCCCACATATCAATCGTAGATAGTGAGCGCCGTGGTTTCGTGCCCTTTCATATCTTGTCTTTTTAGTGCTGCTTTTCACTCGTAGTAGTACATAACGCTTCCTAACTTCTGAGTTGCGAACTTTCAAATAACTTCTTGTTGAGCGGGGAAACTTTTACCAAGCGAAATGCAGTAGCTCGAGGTTAGCAGAGAAAACAGAAGGGCAGGAGGAGATAAAGAACAGACAGAGGTGCTCGGTCTTTCCTTTTTCCGTTTCGTTTCTTGTAGAAACTTTTCACCACTAAAATATGCTTCAGCTGAAACTTATGAGTGTTTGCGCTACTTCAGACATGTACTAGTTTGGTTAATGTACAAATTTACTTATTGTTGGGTCTTTCTTTGTGCTTTGTAATTGGCTCACGTGCATGCCTTTTTGAAGTCTCAAGCTCAGCTTTTTTCTATGAGCTCGGCATGTCATTCCTGTCAAATGGACATGCTATAACGTGTCTTGGTGTGTTACTTAACTTCAAAATTTTACCTTGGAAATTTGTACCGAATAACAAATGCGCTTGCAAACCGATGCCGCCAAAGCATTTTAGGCAACCACCACTGTGAACGTGTGGTTAACTTTCACAGACTTATAGAAACTGCACAAATAATACAGAAAACAAGAAGAAACGAGGAATGAAGGAAGGATTAAGCTCTTACATGTGTTTGTGAGGGTAATAAAACCCTTGTTTTTCTGGTTCATTGCAGGAGTATTTATGTTTAACCGGGATCAACTACTGATGCACTTCAGCAGTGACAGCCAGAACAACAAGCGTGGCTTTCACATTAAGGCCCGACAAATCACCACCTGCTACCCAGGAAGTGGTGGGTATCTTTATATGCATGGCACTTTCAAGCACGTTCGCCAAGCGAATATACTCAATATTCTACGAGTAACTATACCCGACTACAGAATCACGCGAGGCGTTTGAGGATCACGCATCGGGTAAATCAGTCGAGCTTTCAACTTTGCAAATACAGACACTCCACGGACATCTTCACCATTGGCTTGCTTTTTAGGAGCCATTTAGAGTGCGCAGTCATAAAAACTAAAGCCTGGTGAAAGTAGAAGGCGTCTTTCATAGATTACATTCGAATTCATCGATATAAATAAGGCAAGCATGATTGTTTCATGCAATGCCGTGACCATTTTTTTTTTTTTTTGCAAAGCGCTGCCTAACGGCTCTGGGCAATCATCTCCACGTAGGCTAGGCTTCATACTGCGTCAAGTGAATGCTTATTTTGAATGTGTCCACGTGCACATGCTTTCCACTGATTATGAGATGTATGCGAAGGAGCATTCACCTTGTCTTCCTGTGAGAGAAGTGCACTTCTTTCGCGACGTTCTTGTCTGCCGTCTTTGTGAAATTTGCAGCGCTGCCTTCTTCATCCATTATTTTGCAACTAATATCTAAACAAGCTCTGCTGAATATTTTAAAGCTTGCTTTCGGCAAACCTCGGTGCATGATCCTGCCGAGTTAAAGATGGTGCATTCGTACGTGGTTGTTTTTAAGATAACACTTTTATCTTATAAAGACATGCAAAGCTCGGCTAAAACATTTTCGTTTTAACCATGAACTGCTATAAAGTACAGGCTCCAAATAACAAAGGCAACTATGCTTGTAATGTACCGAAAGAAATAAGTATGCAACGTATGAGCCAGAACACCATCTCTCGATAAGATAATGTCGCTTGATGCGACAGTAAGCAATGCAGTGGTGCCTTAATGTTGATACAGTATATTTCATTATTGAACTCGCCCTGTATGAAAACTCTTTCAAATTTGTTTTCCTGTTACCGTCTTGTGAAGGTGTGTCTGCCCAACTTAAAATAGAAATTTTTTTCCCCTTTGATCATGTGTATCGTGCGAGACTATCGCCGTGCCAGACATTCCCGGAAAATGGGTGCTAGATAACATCGAGACGGCCATCGACTAACAGCCTATATCTTACCGAGTTTCCGATCACAATCCAGAACCATACGCAAGTACGTGAAATTTTTCTCTGGCAGCCACTGCTTTGAGCCTGTCACTTCAACACGTCAGAACAGATTAAACTTTCGTCGCGCATTTTAGCTTGTGTGCGCCGCGTTTAACTTCTACAACAAGTGCGTTGAGGAGAAGGTATCATTCCCAAATTGTATTGGTTCCATTTTTCCTTACGGGACAGTCGAGAACTGCAAAGTGGCATATACCGCACATGGACATCTTTGCCTGGGAGTTACAAGTTGTATGACACATCCCTTGGGGGAAGGCGGGGGGGGGGCGTATAGTTTTCCTGGGGCTCCTAATTGGAGCGACTTAAGCGGCAATGCGGCGACACGCCTTCTCTCACCTCCACATTCAATTTTAAGCGATAAAACTTGCTCTCTCTAGTCGGGTATACAATCATTTTTGGTTACGTTGCACTTGCACGTGCTAAAGGGGCCGCATCCGCATTCACCATGTATGCTTCGCTTAGATCAGAAGCGTTCCGCGGAGGAACTTCATTGTTTTGTAGCTGTGTCTTTTTTGTCCTCTCTTCTATGGTACTTTCCTATGGGTACCTATATGCTACACGTGTCTCTGCTCAGTGCTTCCTCCTCCACCACTGTGCGACATGTGCACGGACCGCCTGAGCGACGACATCACCAGCTACGGCTTCCCAACCGCATACCGGGGCAACATGCTGTGCCGCGTGACCATCAGCCGGCCCTCGGACGCCTTCTGCGCGGTCGAGATGCACTTTCGCGAGTTTGACGTGGAGAAGTCCTCGCGCTGCGACCGGGACTTTCTGCAGATCGACAGGGACCGTTACTGCGGCACCATGCTCAAAGGACAGCGCAGTGAGTTGGGACCAATGGGCGATTACGAAAATATTGCTGGAGTAAAAGACATGCCTTGAATGTCAAGCACAGAATCCACTGTCTTACCAGTGGAAAGATCAATTTACTAACTACGTCCACCTGAATCAAAGCAAAACAAGCCCTTTCCTTACATGGGCTACCAGTTTAATGTGGGCTATTTGTTGGGAAAAATGATGTGGCGGGGCGGGGGTAGCTGGAACCGACGTTCCGACCAGCGAACTTGTCATCTGTCTTCAAGCCCACAAAGAGACAAGTCCCCTTGTCGAAGCGTCAACTTCAGAGAAACTCCCGCCAATGAATTTTCCATCTAGAGCTTACATCTTACCCGTATTCCTGCTTTTTTAGGTTTCCTCAAATAACAAGCCTCAACATCTATGCAAATTTTATTGGTCATCAACTCATCAATACACTTTTCGATAAGGTACTACAAAGCGGGACAACAATTCTTATAATTTGTTTAGCGTTTTTTTTGCTTCTTTTTGATCAGAGCGAGAGCATAACATCTTTAGGCGGGCACACCCCGAAAAGAGCACGTTTCGTAGAATAACCAAGGGCAAGCAGTGGTTTCACCTTTGCCGGTAAAGCGCTCTCATAGATTCCATTAGGACTTTTTTTTAGGGTCTTCTTGTTTGGGACATGTGCACTCGTGGCTGTCACCCTTTCAACGCTAAGGTAGTCTACATACCTTACATGTGTATTTTTTAGACTCCCGAGGTAATGTCGACCGTATAACTTTCTACAATGTGGTATATTTGAGCAGAGAAACAAAAATAAATATATTTCCAAACTAAATTCCTGTGCAATTTGCTGGCTGTGCGAATGGCGAGGTGTACGTTTTACAAATTATGGGATAAATTAGGCATGGTGCATTGACGCAAGCGAATAGTAAGCAATCGAATTGTAGATGGGCACTGAACACACAGAGTTGTCAAATACATATAAAAATTCTCTTCTGAGGTACAGTATTAAAAATTCAGGTTTCACGAACAGCTGACATAATTCAATGTAGGTATATTGCGTTCTAGAACTTCCATTTTCGTTAGACCATGGCATACATTTAAAATAAATGTACCAAAACTGGTGGTTCTCAAGAATATCAATATAACACTAAAACTGGTGGATGATTGTCTCAATTTTTAAAAAAATTACATGGCCATCTAATTAAATATAGTTACGCAGTGCGGTGTGATTGATGACGGAAAAAAGGTTCAAACGTATGGTGTACACGTTGCTTCTAATTTCTGGCCCCGATCAAGCAACTCGCAAGCCACCTTAGTGACGACGTAAATTCAACCCTTGCTATGCACGGCAAGCTGTCACACGACCCAGTTTTTTTTTGTTTTTTATTACCGAGATAGCTGCCATTTAAGATTGTGTTGCACACTCCCGAATACTATACATACGCGGCGATCGGCGATTAACGTTTCTCGAATAAATCACAGTTGGTAAATGAATAAATAAATGTCGCGCTGATAACAAATACCCTCGTTTTGCCCGCCCATGTTAAACGTGAATAATGACAAGGTAGAAAAAACAGCTGTGATGCTTTGAAACCCCGGACAAGCGTCGCGTTGAGTTATTTTATTGTAAATCAAAACACTACGAGGTTTCCGCAAAGTACCATTCTGTATAGCGTTCTGCTTCAGTGACGTAAAATGGCGATTGCATTTTTACCTCAGCTTTCGCTCTGTTTCCGTGTATTTAGTTGGCCATGCTAGCATAATCATCTGTAGACCCCCAAGACGGCACGTCATCAAAATGAAAGCTCCTTTTAAAATGGCGCAAACTCCAAAGTGTTAATAAGCGACAGAGGCTGCCTTAAAGTAATAATGCCATCTTGGGACTTCATGGAGCTTGCTCTGTAGTGTAAAAAACGCCACGTGTCTTGATCTCCCACTCATGTTGCTTCATGGACGACTAGATACGTGCGCACCATGTGCAGCGGTAGTCGACATTGTTTTTGTATAATACGGGCACAATTTCATTTAACAGAGAGCTACTGAGGTGGAGGTGCTTATCAGAAACGTTTTATTCGACCACACTGAACGCTCATTTCTCGTACAGTGTAGCACATTAGAGCGTAGGCAGCTGTAGTGTGGAGCAAGACGCCTTTTTCGAACGAGCATGTGGTAACTCTCTGTTATCCCTCGTGTGTCATTCCAGAGCGTATGGTGTACGACACGGAGGGCAACGCCGTGATGGTGTTCAAGACTGACGAGTCTGTGTCCGGCAAGGGCTTCCATGTGCGCTTTCACCAGGTTCCGTGCGGAGCTGCGCACCGAGACCCTGTCGACACCGCCGCTACGACCACCACCACGGTGGCCAGTGGCAGTGAGCATACATATTATGCACGTGAATGAGCAATGCATATGCTCAACTGTAGTTATTCTGTATATGGAAGCCCCACTATAAATCTACCAGTATACCCACAGATTAGCAAAGGTAGGAAGAAAGAAGAAGAATGTGTTATTTCGTTAAGAGTGCTGAACAGCGGCACTTTAATGTGAATCAGTAGCTCCGAAGTACAGTGCTTGCTCGCAGGCAGTGCGTCTTCACAAAATACTGGTGAGCTCACTTGAATGAACGTTCGAATGCTCAAACAGTTCTTTGTACCGAATTGAGCCCTATTCATCGAATTTAGGCCAGCTTACTTGCTTTCAATGTATCAAACAGAGTCATGACATCACGGGGCAAATCTCAGTCTCCTACATCTATATGCTTAGCTGGTTGTCCTGTTGCGACCACGTTACAATTTATTTTTTAATGGCGCTCATAGCCGAACACGATGATAGGCTGTTTACGCTACGTCCGAGACTTGTGGAGAGTACTCTGTGTCGAGCGCAGCCACTCGACTTCTTGTGAGGCTGGTTGATATTAGCAAACGAGTTCGTGATACTGTAAACTAATATCCAAAGGTAAGAAATGCATTTGAAAGCTGCAGTCAAGAGCTAGTTTGGTTACGTATAATGATGAAGATGTAGATGCGGTCACTGACCAAGTCAAGCTGTGTGAAAAAGGAGACGTATTGGTCTCGAAATGTCTGTGTTTTTTCACCTTGACTTGGTCGGCAACCCCAGTACATCCTCATCGTATTAGAAAGCTTAGTTACAGGTAAACAGAGAAGAGTAATAAACACTATCATGAAACGTCAATTCATAGTCAATCTCTTCTTGACGAGGCACACAGTGTGCCACATGACTGCGGTAAACCAGTGTTTGCGCACATGACAGCAATATCTCACTTAAAATTTTCTCACCCGTTTCTGGACATATCTTCAAGTGATGTTTTACTAAGGCTCATAGCTCCTACAGTACTCGAATATATATATCAAGTAATCTAGGACTCTAGTGCTGCCAATGAGAGGAACGGTGATAAAAAATCACAGATTTGCCTCAAAAGTGAAGTAATGAATGCGATAACAACAAATTGGAATGTCACGTGCAGAACAGCAAGCAGATCGAAACATGTCCCACGTTTCTCACGCACCAATGACACACGAAACGTACTCACAGGTGCAGATAACCGTGAATAAGCGTCTCAGTTGTCACTTCGCTGTGTCTGAAACCCGCCCTTTTCGCAAACGGAGAGTGTGAAACGATTGCAGTGACCTTTTTGCGTGGTAACTACAATGAAATTGTTCCGGTGAAAGCCCAAAGCGTACGATTGTCTCCACCACGAGAAAAGCAAGCGCACGCGTAAGTCTCGACCCTGCCCTCTCTCCGCGGGGCAAAGTACGCGTGAGAAATGAGAGGGCGCGCCGCCGCGTCATGACAAGGTGGCAACGCGCGCTCACTGCACTATCTCGCTGGTAATGCTGAAAACACGATAGTGCCCCCCCCCCCTCGAGATGCCCATCACCAGCGGTAAGTGGTATATATATATATATATATATATATATATATATATATATATATATATATATATATAGCTTGCCGTTAGAATGTTGAAGGGGGTGCTCCTTCGTGGCTCAGTAGCTAGCGCCTCGCACTCACATTCATAGGTCCGATGTTCGATTCAGCGCGCCAGAGTCTTTTTTTTTGAGTAGTTTTCTTTTTTGCGTTGAAATATATATAAATACGTATACATATACAGTGAATGATGGCGACGCGGACACCGGCGGCAAAATCAAGCCGAGAGTGTCCATATTATTCACATTGAATTGAATCTTTATTTTTATGTTTGATACTACATGCAGGATAGCCGGAGTAAAAGCCGTATTAAAACAGCTTGACTAGCTCCCGCTACCAAAAATGAATGATAATCACAATAAACATTGAAACCTGTACGTTCCTAATGCCTGCGCAAGCGTGCGAGAAAGGGGTTGGGTGTATACAGCGGAAAGACAAGGTTTCCGAACTGCAAATGAGAGATTGCATGCTGGCTTGGTGTCCCAGCTATAAAATAGCACGGGCCCGGGCTGCAGCCCGAAAGCCCAGACCCGTCACAGCCCGTGGGCCGTGTCGCGCTGGGTTACAGATTGTTTTATCCAACCTGGTGTGCGCTCGGGCCCGTGAGCTTCGGGCTCGCGTCGAGCTCGGGTCTGAGTCAGGCATGTGTAGGCCCCGGGTCTCATACAAATCGGTATGATGGCGTGTCTACGCAGTAGAATATGTCTGATCGACGTGAAATGTCCTTCTACATGGGCGCTAGCCCACTTGAAAGCCTGCTTTTCTTTACCTTCCACCTTTCTTTCCCCGCCATGGTCGCCGCTTTTAACACGAAAATGTTCGATAGCGGGGCCCACCACGGCTCTGTCACAAAGTTTCGTCACGGAAGTGGCGTTAAATACTTAGTAACAGATTATAAAGTAAAAAAAAAACAAGCTCCGCAGTGTGGTGTCAAACCAGCGACCTTTCGCTCCTTAGTTCGCGACGCTAACCCTTACACAACAGATCTGCCCTTCTGCGACATGTTAATGGCGAGTCATTTATATACACCACGTGGCACTCGTGGACCTCAGAGCTCGGCAACTTCAGCGCGTTTTAGTAATCGGTAGCGACATGACACTGCGGGCGCGCGTTCGGCGCCCGCACTCTATAAGCCGTCGTGCCTCGCTACGTACCCCGCACGCCGGTGTGTGTGCACGCCTCCACATGGCATGGTAACAGTGCGTATGAATGATCTCTAGCGTAGTGGCTCGTTCGCGCGCGCTCTTGTCTCGGGTTCTTTGTGAGTCTTGTACTTCCAGCGCGTGTAAATTTGCTTTGAAGTTACAGCAGTAAAGTAAGCAGGAATGCCGATTCACTCGCTATCGCGGCCACGTTTACGAAAGAAGCGCGCTGCTAACATGCGAAGTAAGAATTATGACAGTTGTTTGTCTGCGCTCGGCATGTGTATGCTCATTTCATGCGTGCCCTCTGGTGTACGTGTGTTCTGCAAGTTTCGAGCTGCCTGCCATTCCAATTGGTTTTTGCCGCATTCATTCCTTCGCCCTTGGGGTGAAACGATGCACAATAAATTTTCAACTACCACTTCGAGGACAGGTTTGGCTTTCGTGTTATATCTGTTTTTTAAAAGAGGGATCAACCATGATTTGCAACCACGTTCAGACGTAAAGACGAACATGTAAATGACCGATTTCACGCATATTTTGCTGCTGTTCCACAAGGAATGCTTGGGCTTGGAATTTTTCGATCACATGGTCTCCCCCTCGTCCCCCCACTCACCTACTCTACGCTGGCGAGCCTCATTTCAATGGCAGATCGAGTGGCCCTGCTTTCAGTGCTCTGCCTCACACCCCTCACTGCACTACTCCTCTACTCCTGTTATCTCAATGAAATTCGCCATTACACCGTGCTTCCAACACTTTATAAATTATTTTTTACAATCTAGCACTGGTATTTTTGGGACGTCTCGTACCTGAAACCATCTCGTATAAAAAGTTTGTTGAAATATAATTTTTCGGCGACGTCTGTAGACAAGCGCTGCTGGATGTGTAACCAAAAACAATGCAGCTGCACCTATTGACGGCAGATTGGGGATCATGGTTGCAATCATATTGGTCGGTGGTGGTGCCAAGGGAGGCGGTAGCGACTGATGCAAGTCTTGATTTCATTTTCTTCGAACTCCAGGGGCCGATGGAAGCGTAGGATGATGCAATTGATTGAAACTCTCAGGGCATTCTAAAAAAACGGTGTCATGAAGTGATTGAACTTTCAGGCCAGATAACAAATCACATTAATGAAATTATGAAAAGAAGTAGACAGCATAAAAAGAACATTGAATTTCAAGATACTAGCGGTGCTTTATCGTTTCTCAAAAGAGTGGAGCATTCGCAAGGGTGTCACACTGATAAACAGTGTTGCCAAGCTACTCTAGGCCACACTGTTTATCAAGGTAACCTTGGCCATTGAGTCTGAATCCTATTTAAAAGCAACACATTTCTCTTCTATTTGCAAGCAAAAACATATTGCTCATAAGGTCATTTCAATCATGAAACTACTCTGGTTTTAAACATACATCGCATGCGGCATCGTACGTGAATCAATGCTTTAACAAATTTGTAATTACGACACTTGTTTTACGGTATGTAAGTTCCTTTGCGATTCTGAATAGTGTGACACAATACACGCAAAGAAAAAAAAACGGTACATGGTGAGCCATAACTTTGCCTAAAGTTCCGTTACTCTAATACACTAGAATCGACAACGCGTCATCCTCGTGCTTTCATTGGCGGACGCCTACCTCTGGTACGGTTGGCGATGATCTCGCCGCTGAACTCGTCGGCGATTTCCTTGAGCACCACGTTCTCCACGTGGCTGTCATCGCGGACGCCGCCCCTGGCAGTGGCCGAATGGCGCCAGCTGAAGATAAAGAAGATATTGCCACGTTCCACTTCCCAAGTTTTCGTTATCATCCCTAAACACCACACGATTCTCAGCGCAAACCGCGCCTGCAGTTTTTGGGAAGGTTCCGGACTGTAGTAGATCATTTCGATAAGATCACGCCCACTGTGCGAACGGTACAGATTGTTCTGGAACCTACGCCACCGCCAGCGATAACGCTAGAACATTCGATGGCAAGAGTATAAATGCCGACGCGCTTCGCCGCTTGTCAGTTGTTGAACAAAGGCCGACGCTCCGTTCGCCGCTATCAGTCCGAGACTGCTATCTGTGCGAGACTGCTGCTGTAATTGGACTTTCCGTCTACTGAGCACAGGTTCACCCAAATAAACAGTTAAATCCCAACACGAAGTCTCCTGTCTTCGGCCACGTCACGACTCCGTGACATCTGGTGGAGGGGTCGTGACGAAGATTGCTTTTCGTCGTCATCGAAAATTCGGCAGACCCCAATCACGAAACTTCGCATCATAACCGAAGAAAACGCCAGACCACTCCGTCAGAGTCCGTACAGGGTTTCGACGCGAGAACGTGAGGCCATGAAAAGACAAGTTGATGAAATGCTGCGGGATGACATTATCCAGCCGTCCAAGAGCCCATGGGCATCCCCCGTGGTGTTAGTGAAGAAAAAGGATGGGACCCTACGTTTCTGCGTCGATTATCGCCGCCTGAACAAAATCACAAGAAAGGACGTGTATCCTCTCCCACGAATAGATGACGCACTTGATCGGCTCCATAACGCCAAGTACTTTTCGTCAATGGACCTCAAGACTGGCTATTGGCAAATCGAAGTCGATGAAAGAGACCGAGAGAAGACGGCGTTTATAACACCAGACGGCCTCTTCGAGTTTAAGGTGATGCCCTTCGGCCTTTGCTCAGCGCCTGCAACTTTTCAACGCGTTATAGATACAGTACTGGTAGGATTGAAGTGGCAGACTTGCCTTGTGTACTTGGACGACGTCATCGTGTTTTCCTCGAGTTTCGACTAGCATCTTCGGCACCTTGAAGCTGTACTTCAAGCCATCAAGACGTCCGGACTCACACTGAAGCCAGAAAAGTGCAGATTTGCGTATGAGGAGCTCTTGTTTCTGGGGCACGTTATCAGCAAGTCTGGAGTTCGTCCCGATCCATGGAAAACAGCCGCCATCGCCGAATTCCCGCCGCCCACTGACAAGAAAGCCGTGCGCCGATTTCTGGGCCTGTGCGCCTATTATAGGCGGTTCGTGAAAAACTTCGCCCGCATCGCCGATCCTCTCACTAACCTTACCAAGGCCGACGTGGAATTCAAGTGGGAAACGCCACAGGAACACGCTTTCCAGGAGCTTAAACATCGCCTTCAGACGCCTCCGTTACTTGCCCATTTCGACGAACTCGCCGAGACATAAATACATACTGACGCAAGCAGCGTAGGTCTTGGCGCCGTTCTTGTGCAGAGGGCTGATGGACTTGAAAGGGTTATTAGTTACGCCAGCCGATCGCTATCCACAGCAGAAGCAAATTATTCCACAACAGAAAAGGAGTGCCTCGCCATCATCTGGGCTACGTCGAAATTTCGCCCCTACCTCTACGGCAGGCCCTTCAAAGTTGTGAGCGACCACCACGCCTTGTGTTGGCTAGCCATCTTGAAGGACCCTTCAGGTCGCCTCGCACGATGGAGCCTGAGACTTCAAGAATATGGCATTACTGTCATTTACAAGTGCGGCAAAAAAACACTCCGACGCCGACTGTCTCTCTCGTGCGCCTGTCGACCAACCGCTACCCGACGACCCGGATGACGACTACTTCTTGGGAACGATAAGTACCGACGACTTCGCTGAACGACAGTGGGCCGACCCGGAACTTAAGGCACTAATAGAATACCTCGAAGGCAGGACCGCCGAAGTCCCGAAGGTATTCAAGCGCGCACTTGCGTCGTTCTTCCTACGAAACGGTCTTCTACAAAAGAAAAACTTTTCACCGCTTTGAGCTAAGTGCCTCCTTGTGGTGCCTTCATCTCTGCGACCAGAACTCCTGCAGGCCCTGCACGACGATCCGACGGCAGGGCACTTCGGTGTTTCTCGCATGCTCGCGAGGATACAAGAAAGGTACTACTGGCCACGTCTTACCACCGACGTCACTCGTTATGTGAGGACATGCCGGGACTGTCAGCGACGCAAGACACCGCCGACAAGGCCAGCGGGACTTCTGCAGCCAATTGATCCATCTTGCTGACCTTTCCAGCAGATTGGTATGGACCTACTAGGGCCGTTCCCGACGTCGGCTTTCAAAAACAAGTGGATCGTGGTAGCTACCGACTACCTCACCCGCTACGCCGAGACAAAAGCCCTGCCAAAAGGCAGTGCATCCGAGGTAGCTAAGTTCTTCGTCGAAAATGTCGTCCTATGTCACGGCGCCCCGGAGGTCCTTATCACCGACAGAGGAACGGCATTCACTGCCGACTTAACTCAAGCGATCTTGGCATACAGCCAAACAAACCACCGCCGGACGACAGCGTACCACCCACAGACCAACGGCCTCACCGAGCGGCTTAACAAGACGATCGCCGACATGCTGTCAATGTACGTCGATGTCGAACACAAGACCTGGGACGCCATTCTTCCGTATGTGACCTTCGCATACAACACGGCGGTGCAGGAGACGACGCAGATATCTCCATACAAATTGGTCTACGGAAGGAGCCCGGCAACGACGCTCGATGCCATGTTACCCAACGTCATCGACGAAGAAAGCCTCGATGTGAGCGAGTACCTTGAACGTGCCGAAGAAGCCCGACAACTCGCGCGTCTCCGTATCAAGAATCAACAGGCGACCGACAGCCACCGTTACAACCTTCGACAACGCTTCGTGGAATACCAGCCCGGTGAACGTGTTTGGGTGTGGACGCCGATACGCCGACGTGGACTAAGTGAAAAGCTTCTGCGACGCTACTTCGGACCGTACAGGTTGGTCCGACGTCTCGGCCCACTTGATTACGAAGTTGTCCCCGACGGCATCACGAACTCTCAACGACGCCGATCGCGACCTGAAGTCGTGCATGATGTGCCTCAAGCCGTTTCATGCGCGTTAACAAGCTAAAGCAGTATTTTTTTGGTATGCTGTTTCATCGTAATTTATTCATTGTACTTTCTTGCATTATTATTGTACCTTCATCTTTAGTTAAAGCATCGGGACGATGCCTTTTTTCAGAAGGGGGTAATGCCACGTTCCATTTCTCAAGTTTTGTTATCGCCCAAAAACACTACACAATTCTCAGCGCAAACCGCGCCTGCAGTTTTCGGGAAGGTTCCGGACTGTAGTAGATCATTTCGATAAGATCCCGCGCAGTGTGCGAACGGCACCGATTGTTCTGGAACCTACGCCACCGCGAGCGATAACGCTATAACATTCGATGGCAAGAGTATAAATGCCGACGCGCTTCGCCGCTTGTCAGTTGTTGAACGAAGGCCGACGCTCCGTTCGCCGCTATGAGTCCGAGACTGCTATCTGTGCAAGACTGCTGCTGTAATCAGACTTTCCGTTTACTGGGCACAGGTTCGCCCAAATAAACAGTTTAATCCCAACACGAAGTCTCCTGTCTTCGGCCACGTCATGACCCCGTGACAATATGAATCAAAAAACCACGCATTAGGCATGACAACAGCACGTATACATCTGTACACACCGACATAGTGAAGCGCTATTACATCACGTAATCCACTCTGTAAATTTCTGCAGAAGGCAAAAGAAAAAAAATAGTCGTTTTTCATCACTTATCATTTAACTATAATTCATGTTTATAGCATGTAACTGTGCAGCCTACACATGTAGGAACTCGGTGGGCACTGGTTCACAATATTTCATTTAACAGGAAATATTTGTAGACAACTTTTTGCGTGTTGTTCATGTATTGGAAATATGACTTTCAAGCAGTTAATAAAGGCCAGGCGAGCTACAAGCCATGTGGAGTTGTTGTTGTTGTTCAATTATTGATAGTGGCGCGTACCCACTATGTGGGATTGGTCAAGAATCGAGTGGTTTTAAAAATTACTGTTCAGATTTAGAATAATGGAGGTATAACAGAAAGATTACCGAGAGCCAGCAAAATGTGGTGCTTAATGTAATGTATACAAATATTTACATAAACGAATTTATTCTTTGAATAGAGCAATAATCTTATTTTTATACCTACATAATTTTGTAAACATGTTAGGATAATGTAACTGGTTAATTAGTCAACCTATTAGTTTCATCAATATAGTCACCGACGTCCGCGCATCCTGTCGCATTTGAGAAACCAGAAATGAAAGCTCCAAAAGACAAAATGACCGGCACAGATAAGTCCATATCAATACCACGTGAAGGTATTTCTAAAAGGGTTTTTCGTAATGTGTTAAACCACCTGCAGGTCAAAAAGAAATGATCTATTGTTTCCAGTTCATCACAGAACGCGCACAGGGGCGAAGGTGCCTGAGCAGACCTGTGTTCATAGAAATTAAGATTTGGTACTTTTTGAGAGCTGCTAGGCTGTCAGGTGGTAACTTACAGTGCTAAATGAATGCAGCAGAGCCCTTTACTTAGAGATAGCGCTGCATGCAGCCTACTATAAAAAAAAAATCGGTCTGAATGTAGATGTCAGGTCATTCACAATCGTATACTTGCTTAAAACGCGTGATAAAGGAAACATTAAAGAGAAAAAGGGGTCTGGCGTGCGGCCTCATTGGCGACCACCTGCCAGTAGTGCACTTTTTCACCAGAGCAGCAATGGCCACCCTGGTCCAGTACTTGGCCACTTCCTCCCATGACTACAGCAATTAGCCCTTGGCCCTCAGTTCACAGCGGCTGCGAAGCAACCATTGTGATAATTCTGGTTGCCGAGTCTTATCCTTTCCAGGTGCGATGACGTTGATGTCGCAGCGGTGCGCTGGTGGTGCTTCAGGTGGTGTTCGATGATTTTGGTCAAGTCCTAACAAGCTGTTTCTAGCAGGTCTGGTGCAACAGTACAGATTTCGTGCGGTAATAGAAGGTATGAATAACAGGTGGCTTCACGAAGTACGTCGAAGAACGCAAGGCTGTCCTCTAGACTAATATGACGGCCACGAAAACAGCGACATACTGCGAAACAAAAAAAAACGGGCACTGCGTAAGCCTTTCACTGTTTTTCCCATCGCGTTCCGGTTTGAGGTAATTATGGGAGACGAACAAACTGGCAAATTATTGTTGGACAGGCCAGACCTAACTGTCAGTAGCAAAAAGATGCGTTTCTTTCATTTTCAGTAGAGGTGCTCTCCTACAAATAAAAAAAATTGCCGCAATTGTTTTGTAGATGCTGGTGCACTCCTTTTTGTTTTTCCCCTCCATGTTCGAAGCGCATACTGTTACTCTAATTTCAGTCGAGAGTTGTGAAAACTTCGTGAAGTCAAAACGAGGTTGAAGAAGAAGAACGTGAAAGATGGGGCCTATTGCTGACCGAGCTCTCATCGGTCAGCGGCGCCTGAAATGGAGAGTCCATTACATGAACACATCGAGAAGAGCTCTCCGGTAGAGTGATGTACTTTATGTGCGAGTAGCTCGTTCGCGTCGAAGTAAATGACTAACGGCAGCACGCTGTAGTTATTTAGAAGTGACGGCATGATTACTCTCGGGACCTCGCCGGCGGCGCGAGTAAGAACAAGCTGCCGCGGTGGTGGCTCTTAGTTCGAACTGCACGTCAGGCAAAAAAAAAAAATTGAAAATTTACTAGCGAAATTGATGCGCAAACTATCTATCCTTAGTTCCATAAACACGCCACATCCAAAACTTGGCAGTGCTGACATCAATCGAAGAGCGGAGAGGTGACCCGTAGGACTATTCGTCTTAACTGTGGTAACAGTTCTCGGAAATATATGCATTTTTTTTTCGTTTTGCTGCGGTTGATTAGGCTGAAGGTGGCAGGCTAGAGGATAAGGTACAGAAGTGGGCAGCTAATTACGCACTAATAGACAAGTTCCTAATAATTACTGTAACATTACCTGTGCGTGTATAGGAGAACCAATGGGATGGCCGCACGTGTTGACTAAACGAGCTCACTTTTACGGCGACATCGCTTTCAAATCATTCTCCACTCGGCTTGTTCACGTTCTTGGGATCATTCACAGATTTCGGCCGACAGGGCCCCTAAAAAGTGAGGCCCACGAGACGGTTTTTTTCTCTCTCGTAGAGTACCAAGTACTCTAAGTCGTTAACAACTTTTCTAAGCAGATACGAAAAGACGCATTAATGCTCTCTCATTGTTGCATGGGTCGCACTCCAAAGCGCTAAATCATCAGAGTCATACTCGGCTCAGCCAGCGGGCCGTAGCAACAAGTTCATCTTCTCAGTGCTCTGTAAAATGGAGCTTGTAAAAGCGGAGGCAGAGGAGAATGAACAACATCCATTGAGTCACGCTAGACGTATTCAACATCTCAGATGTGGATCATTTCTCCAAGAGATTTTGCGTGGGAACATTCGTACAACGTAATAAAACTGATGTGCAGGATGATTCAAATCGGGGCTCCAATGCTCTAATACTGTTTGCGGTGCCTCACGAACAAAACAAAAAACGCTTCAGACCACTCATGCATGACCGCTAGTAAACTTGAAGAAAGCATTAACAATCGAAAGAGGCAGAAAATAATGCATGTGCATCTTAGTGAAGTAGTCTCAGAGTCATAAACAATAATTTTAAAAAATGACCACCCCAGCATTGCGTACATACGGTTAAACAGCGAAAGATGAAAGGCGCAACCCCAGTGTTTAGCAGTGAATTCAACCCGACGCTGCACTGAAGCCTTTCCAGTTATTTGTTACATGCTCGTGCTTTTAAATTTAGACACGCGTTTGACTTCGGTTTACCACAGTGTTTATTTCACATGCCGCACAGTGTACTTGACATTATCACGGTCAAGGAATGGTGTAATGAGTGATTATATGTGTTTCGCAGTGCGTTAATCACAGCGGTTGTTCTCGAACTACAGGCGGTCACAGACGTCGCTGTCGCAGCAAAATTAAGCGCCGCTGCAGAAACTCCTACCGAAAGCACGCGTTCGGCCCGGCCAAAGCGCTCCCGAAATCATCACGTCGACGCTATCATACGCCCGCAACGGGGCTTGTCCGGCACGGGGCTGTTGGAAGCGTGTGAATTTGCGTGTTAACTCGGGGGCGTGATTTGCAGGATACGCACGCCACCGGCGCTTGCATATCCGTTCGCGATTCAGCACGGCCTGAAAGGCCATTGGATTTGGTGGAATTTGTTTACACAGACAATGAAAACTTGTGCCTAAAACGTGAACACGATCATGCTCGCTTTCGCAAGGGTGATCACGTGTTGCTTCATTAGATATATGTAATATCATTCGATATCATATAGTCCAAGTTTTGAACACCAAAGGGTTTTAATGTGGGGTCCACCATGGTTCCGCTGACGTATTTCTGTCAAAGGTATGACGTTGTAAAATATATATTATCATATTGCAAAGAAAAAAAAACGAGAAGAGAAAGTTCTGTCGCGGGGCGTCAAACAAATGACTTCTCAATTATTAGGGCAGGGTGCTAACCATTAACCATTAGGCAATAACTGTAAGCCATTTATATATATTATATATATATATATATATATATATATATATATATATATATATATATATATATATATATATATATATATATATATATATATATATATATATATATACATCATTTGGTGGTCCTCAGAGATTCGACCACTTCAGTGCGTTTTTGGTTTTAGTCATCCTTAGCGAGATGGCGCCAAGGGCGCGCGTTGAGGCCTTTCTGATGGCGTGTTTCACTTGAGAAGTGATGAGGAAACTAAAACGCCAGAGCGACCCGAAAACCATGACCACGTGCAGGTTTGTCACCCCTCGCGTTTCGGGGAGCGTCGCCTCCACCGAGCACACGCGCGCTTATCAGACTCTGAATGAAAAGAGCGCGAAGGTCACTTCCCTCGCTTCTGCGGCCGCGTTTGCAAAAGGTGCACGCTGCTCACAGACGAAGATGTAAGTGTTGTTTCGATTGCTCGCACTTGTCCTGCGTATACTTATGCGTTCGTTTCGTGCGTCTTTCTTTCTGTTTGGAATGAACGCTTTCAAAGGGCCCTGAAACACTTTGAAGTAACCATAGATTGAAATCACTGGAAGAGTTTATTGCCTCACGAACTCACTGCCGCAAAAAATTTTAAGAATCCGTCCAGAGCGAGTGGAGTTACAAAGATTTGTAGCATGCTGCAATTGCATTCTGGCTTTTCTCGTACCGATGAAAGCGCTGGAAGCTAAGTAGGGAGCGATGGCGGCGGAAAAGAAAAACGTCATTCATGGCTCGTGACTTTGAGCACTTCTTTCTTTTTTTTTCAAATGCGTGACTTTTTCATAGTGATCGCGCGCGCAGGCGTGGACAAGTCGTGGCCTCCCATGGCGATCTCTGTAACGACCGACCATGCCATGTTCAAATCAGCCAATGACTGGTAGTTGGGCTTTTTACGAGGGATTTTTTTTTTTTGCGGCTTCCGTAATTTTTCGAGAGAAGAGAAAGTAATTTTAGCAGACTTTGATAATTTATTGTGAATTCCATGCCACGTGCTGCGCTTACTTGGCTCACGTAATTCGGGAGCATCTACTACCGATCGGCAGCGTTTTCTGACCATGCTCAAAAAATGTTGCAGGGCCTCTTTCAATGTCGAGCTGGGACAACTTTCGTGTTAGACCGATCTCTAAAAAGGGGGATCCGCCACATCTTGAGTGTGTGTGTGTGTGTGTGTGTGTGCGTGTGCGTGCGTGTGTGTGTGTGTGTGTGTGTGTGTGTGTGTGTGTGTGTGTGTGTGTGTGTGTGTGTGTGTGTGTGTGTGTGTGTGTGTGTGTGTGTGTGTGTGTGTGTGTGTGTGTGTGTGTGTGTGTGTGTGTGTGTGTGTGTGTGTGTGGTGTGTGTGTGTGTGTGTGTGGTGTGTGTGTGTGTGTGGTGTGTGTGTGTGTGTGTGTGTGTGTGTGGTGTGTGTGTGTGTGTGTGTGTGTGTGTGTGTGTGTGTGTGTGGTGTGTGTGTGTGTGTGTGTGTGTGTGTGTGTGTGTGGTGTGTGTGTGTGTGTGTGTGTGTGTGTGTGTGGCATCGGAAGGCTTTACAAGTCAGAGGGTCTGATTGTACCTGGAGTACGCGTACTACGTCGTGAATCGCTTGTTTGCAGAATTCGTCTATTCTTGAAGTAGTAGTCATACGCTGGAAATAAACGAATAAAACGTACACGGGTGAGCGCTATAGCGATTATACACCGTTATTTAGCAGGGAGGTGCATTACATCCCTAGACAGACTTACGGGGAGTGGGGGGGTGGGGGTGGCTTGGACAGTGACCGCTTCCCCCTATATACCTATGAGGGAGGGGTGAAGAAAACCTGTATCTTGCAATGAATTAGCAGGGGCAGCACTGCGATAAACCTTCGTCCCGCCCCCTTATCCACACGCTTATAAATAGACCTGTTTACTTATTGCTCACAAGAAAATTATCTATGGCTTGTTGTATGTCCAAGGGACATTGCGGTGTGCCAGCTTGGATACTTTACAACCACGCTCGCTCCCTGACACACTCTCCCATGTACAAAACTGTGCACTAAAATGCACGCACACGTAATGTGTTGACGTCGTCGCTTTTCATCGGTGGGTTTTTCCGCGCGTTGTAGTGAAGGCAGTGGCTCTTGTCAGCGTAAAAATTTACCCCTACACATTGCGTAGCGCGAACTATCAAATACGTTTATAATGTACAATTGTACTTTTATCCTGAATGCTGCAGTTTTAAGTACCAAGTTGGATGATACTGCATAATAGCCGTCACGTGCTTCATTTTTGAATGCCTCCGTTGTGCAGTCAGCCCCGCACCGCAATGACAACATGAAATTCCTACTGAAGTCGCCAACAGCGGAGTTAACTGCATGGCTTTTAATAATACTCTCATCATTTCTACCCACATTTGATGAAAAATTAAGGGTGGTTGTCAGTCACTTTAACGATTGTGTAGGGCTATATTCCTTATTATGTCGGGCACGCCAGCTTGTTATAAATTATCGAGTCTGAAAAATGGGAATGTTCTCATCAATCAGTAGTGAACGCTTGAAAAAACCCCTTGGTATCTTTTTTTTTTGGGGGGGGGGGATGTGTATTCGTGTTGTGAACGATTAGTTTTACATCTTAGCCTACATTCATGTCTCAATGTATCAACTGATTTTTCCCTATTGCCACCGTTTTACCGGCAGGTCCACCAAAGGAAGTGCTTCGTTGCGTTCAGCGCTTCGACAGGCAACGCGAGTTCTACGTCCAGAGTCCTAACTATCCATCGCACTACTTAGACAACCAAGACTGTCGGTATGTGATCACAAAGGCCGGGGAGGACGTTTGCCACCTAGAGCTCGTGTTTGCTTCCTTCGACATCGAGTCGTCACCAGGATGCCAATACGACTATCTCGAGTTCGGTGGGCAGCGACACTGCGGTTCCCTGCCTGCAGACCATTCATGTAAGTGTGCGAGCGCTTATGAGAGCTTACTAGAACTTACTTCTAACTAAACGTATCATATGGCTGGAGGTATGGCAGCTGAAAAAAAAAGTGCCAATATAGTGTAATTGCTTCCCAAAGCCGAGTGTGTGCTCTACACATATGGCCCTTTTGTCCGCTGAACAGCTCACAGCATTGTAAAGACGTGCTTGGTACGTTACACAGAAGATTTCCTCCTCGTAGCAGAACGGTGGGAAAGGCCTGTATGCTGTCATTACTCATCCCAATATTGGAGCCTATAGATTTCAGCATATGGTAACACATGTGACCTCTTTTGGAATTAATAATCAGAAATTGGTGTTGTTATTGCTATAGTACCCTAGTGCTAGATTGAAAGCCACAGAAACTGCCGTGCAGTTCCGATCACTCTTCGATAGCGCGTGCACTCAGTGTGTCCATGGCAAAATATACCTTGCCTCACAAGTGAGTTAGAGGTAAGGCCCTCAAAGCATCACAGTTCGAGTGTCTGTCCATCCATTCACAGTATATTTTATGAGTAAGACAGTCAAATAAAAGCACTGCTTTATACTCAGCCTGATTGTATCGTATCCGCGACATGCAGAACCAGAATTGTCAATTGTTTCTCTTTCTCCTGAGTGTGTATTTATTAATAATTTGGAAGCAAGTTGACAATATGCAACATCATGACAACAAAAAACACCAACCGGATAATGTTGCAAAATAATGAGAAAAAAACGTACGGCAGCTCCAGTACAGTGAAACCTGACAAAGTGCATAGCACAGGCACCGAGCGAATCGTGTTGGTGTTGTCGCTGCTCTGTTTACCAGAACGTCGATGACGCCAACTTTTAAGCGTAAACATGCAGGCTTTCCCCAGCACAAGTAGACTCTTGTTTGGGAGATTCGCAAACTTGCTATGCGACATGTGGGCGTCTATTTAGTGCACTTTGTCGACTTCCTGCTTGTTACAGCAGTTTATGTACGTGTCGTCTACAGTGAGTTCGCTCAGGTTGTTTCCCTCATCACATATTGTGACATAGCGGCCGGCGAAGCGCATGGGCTGGGGCATTCGGTCGCTCGTTGAGGTGGTGGCGGCTCTCTTGCGCAGCGCCAAAGTCAGCAAACGTGTCCAATGTGCTTTTAGCGATTTTCGGTTATTTTCCGTTTCTCGTTCGTTCATACGGAATAGAAAATAACTAGTCTAGAAACAAGTCTAGAAAAAATATGTTATGGTATCTCATTATATATAATTAGGTACCTGCAGTGAACATTTTGCCTCAGTTCATTTCACAATGAACAGCTGACCATGATCACTGCCGAAAGGGAAGGGGGGGGGGTTAAATTGACATATGGTTCACTGGCAAGAAGCGATGCTTAAACTTCCCGATTGATATTTATTTTCAGCCGTCTTGGTCGATTCTTGGCTGAAAGTCCTCGGGAGCACGGGCTTGCTCATATAAGGAGGCGCTTCTTCTTCCTCGGTTCGACCTGGCAATGCACTTCATTAAACGTACTCCCGCCCACCAACTCACTCGTTCAGCTCGAGCAAAGGAAGCTTTTGTATCGGCCTTGTTGTAACAGCCTCTCCTTGTTGTTGAATCTTGCACGAACGAAATTCTGCATGAACGGACAGCTCCTCTGTTGACTTCCAGAACCGTTGCAAGTTTCCACATTTGTCGGGGTAATTTTTCATCATGGACATGACGATGTATTCTGCTTTAACTTCTTTGGTGGGTCTAGTACGTGAAAAGTGCACTGATTGAAGTTGGAGCAGATGTTCTTTTGCCTACCGGTTCCAAAAGATTTCACTAGCCGTTTTCTGTATACATGCCATCGTAAAGTTTCCGTCCACATTTGATTCATTGGCGTGTCGTTGCCACCCTGTGGTAGCCCCGCAAGTTTCCTTGCAATAATAAGGCTGAGTTAACGCACGAGGTTCCCCGGTGTGCGACTAGATGTAGGTGAGAGGCCTCGAGTTCACAACCGCTTCCACTTCTGATAGCACAGTAATCAGCTCCTTAAAGTTAAGTCGACCTTTGCCGAGAAGCTTTCACAGTGGAAGCTTCATAGTCTCCACCATGGAGCGCTGGGAAGAATAAACTTCCATGTGATCCTCTTGTAACCCAAGTATGCAGACACGCCCTCTTAAGAAAACATCTGACAGAGATTCTCCAGGTCTCTTGACGTCTTCTTAAACGTTCTTGCTTTGTCTGAATAAAAACCTTAGAAAGACCCCTTCGTGCTACAAAGAGTCGCACACACATGAGGAAAGCTTCTGAGGTCAGGCTCAAAACCAGTTCCAGGTAGATTTCTCTGGATGTAGCACATATGAAAAGCAGTATGTAGCATTTGCTCTCTGCGGCCCCGACTGCAGTCACAGCAAAGAGCGGTCCTGCGACGTCAAATCCAGTGACTTCGAATGGGTTTGTCGTTGTCAAACAATAGCGTGCTATGGGAGCTGTCGGAGCGTCACCTGAGCTTATACTGAATTGTCTGTACGTATGGCACCTGTGTATGATTTTCTTAACCAGTGTGCATGCCTGGCAGATTCAATTTTGTTCTCTCAACTGTGACAAAGTGTCGCTCATGCCCCTATGTAAAGTTTCGCAGTGTGCTCGTACTGTGAGTAATGTAGAAAAGCGATGGTCGTGCGGGAGTATGACTGGGTGTTTCACTTCTTCAGATGCTTCAAGGTGTAACAGGCGACCACCGACCTCAAGGATGTTGTTGTCATACAAGAACGGGTTGAGGTCTTTGATTTGAGAGTCCTCCTTTGCATGTGTGCCTTTCCGAATCGCGCTTATTTTTTCTTGGAATACTTGTTTCTGGACATGCCTAATCTAATAACTTTCAGCTTCAGCAATGTCTTCGGCTACTAGAAATCCGGTGTGCACTGCGGTTTTCAAGTGGCAGCTTTCAATGAATGTGAATACCCAGGCTATGACCCTGAGTAGCCTTTCCATTACTGTTAATATCCAGGACTGGTGCCGACGTTGCCTTGCAGGATATCGCAATGTGCCCAGCAACCATTTCAGAAGAAATGCTGTCGTCAGTGCTGATAAATTATGACGGTTGTAGAGGCCATCAGTCTTCTGATGCGCATAGCCAGACAAGTCCATGTCGCCACGTGCTACTGGACAATAATGTTTCCATAGAAGCTCCACGTGTGAGCAGGTCAGCTGAATTCACATGACCAGGCAATACCTCCACATAGAAGGATTTGTTTTTTTCCCTGATCTCTTTCACTCTGTTCGACACAAATTGCTTCTAATTTGTCAGGTCACCTTTTATTCACGAAAGTGTGACTGTGGGGTGAATGCTTAGCAGATCGCTGTTTCAGTAGGTGCTCTCTTTTTTCACCTAATTAGAAGTGAACTTCGCGAATATCACATCCGTGTCCGTCGGTGATGGACGTGAACCCCCACGGACGTCCGCCAGTTACGGCGGCGTCGGCGGTGGCCGCATCCAGGAAGCGTGCGGGACTCTACAGCGACTACGACAGTGAGGGCGCTCTTGTTTACCCAATGAGCAGCGAAGAGCCTTCCGACGACGACGATTTCAAGCTGGTGTTGAGCCGTAAGGCGAAGAGGTGGAACGTCAAAACATCTTCGTCATCAAGTACGTTGAACGACAAAGTGCCAAGGAGACCCGTGACAAACACTATCCTTTTTGTCCCTGAGGTACCGGACGAAAACATGAAGCGCCTCAACAGGCAATCTGGTTCGATGATGCCGGAAGGACTCGTGCCAAACGAGATCACAGACATCAGAGTGAACACGCGTAAGAACATATTCTCTTCCACCCTTCTCTTCCACCGCCCTTGCCTCCCAGACCGAAGGCAGCAAGCGCGGTCAACAAACCAACGAGCAGCACTGTTGCAGATGAATGAGATTGGCCTTCATTGCCGAAATCACAGCCACCTGCAAATCCCAAGCGCACATCGACAGTCACATCACTCCAGCCAGCCGCTGACAAGAGAGAGAGAATAAAATGAGGGAAAGGCAGGGAGGTTAACCAGAAAATGGAGCATCCGGTTTGCTACCCTGCACTAGGGGAAGGGGGAATGGGGAAGAAAGATTGGAAAGAAAACGAAAAGGAAAATAGACGCGCGCGAAAAAAAAAAGGGGGGGAAGCTGGGGTGCTACAGTCAATACAATAGGCCGCTGCCACGCAAAAAGTTCAGTAAGGCCTTCACTGATTTTCTGTGAGCACACAAATCATGTCGTCTTTCCAGCACTGATTGTTCAGACAAAGGTCTGTCGTCAAGGCGAGCTAACGCAGCAGCTAGTTGCCGTCTTTGCACGCTGTAGCGAGGGCAGTGACAGAGAACGTGCTCTATAGTTTCATCGCTGCCGCAATGACCGCAAGCAGCACTGTCTTCCATGCCGATTCGGAAGGCGAAAGCTTTGGTGAAGGCGACACCAAGCCATAGTCAGCAAAGCACCGTTGTCTCGAGTCGGGAGAGTCCAGACGGAGGCCGGAGTCGACGAGACGTGTCCAGTCTACGCAGTCGCGTGTGCCGTAAGCACTCGGTGTTCCACAGGAATTTTAATTCTGCATTAGCGATTTTTCGGATGGTCGTTGCAGCATCAGTCCTTGAAAATGGTATAGATTTTTCTTCACCATCTTCGTGTGCTGATCAGGCAGCTGCATCGGCATGTTCGTTGCCCGATATGCCGCAGTGACTTGGAAGCCACTGAAACGTGATTCTGTGTCCTTCGTCGAAGAGGTGGTGAAGCAGCTCTCTAATTTCCAGCACTAGTTGTTCATGAGGTCCCGGGCGTAAGGCGAATATCAAACACTGTAGTGCTGCCTTGGAGTCCGTGAACACGCTCCATTTCTTGGCTTCTTGGTGTTTAATGACTTGAATTGCGCTACGTAGAGCAGCAAGTTCCGCAGCTGTCGATAATGTCTGGTGGGATAAACGAAACTTCACCATTGTCGCTGTTGCAGGAAAGATCACCGACACTGCAGACCCATCCACTTTAGTTGAAGCGTCA